GGGGGGGGGGGGGGGTGTGGGGGGGGGGGGGGGGGGGGTTGCATTGATCAAATGTCACCAAACACATCTGTTTTGCAGAAGAAATTAAATATTTGGATTCGCTTCGAGAAGTCCAATTTGAAGATAAAATGCTCTCTGTCATAGGTTATTTCATACTTAGAGTTTGACCCGAGACCTCTAACGATTTTTGGAACTTATTTTGGGTTGACTAATTCAGATTCGCTCGTGAAGTCTAACTTTGAGGTTAAATATTTTCTACAAAAGACGAGTTATAGCGAAGACTCAAAATCTGACATCTTTAATTAAAAATAACGGAATACGCATTTGTCACCCTATCGCAATCGTACCGGGTGATTATCGCTCGTTTCTTTTAATCTTCCTGGAAGCTATACTCCTTAAATTAAAGTTCTTTTCAATAAGGACAGTCTTTTATTAGGACGTTTAAGAGGAGTGACACTGGGAAATAATGACCAGCATAAAATATCTAATTATGGGACTTTTTCTTTTCCATTTCATTAATATTTGACGAGGACACCTAATCTTTACTTTCTGGTGAAATTGTAAAAAACTTCAAAAAATGATTATAATATAATTGAGGTCCAATATTGAACATGAGGTTATACAACAGACACGTATTGCATCAATCTTCATTCGCTTTCAAGAACAAGATGCCTACCTACCGAGGCAGAGTCAGAATTTAAAATTTTAAGTTGTGAATTTATCACGAACCCAGAACTCTGTCTTAGTTATTGGGTTTACAATTATATGTTTATACATATTTCATCAATTTTCTGATACTAATACCAAATCTAAGTACAAGTTTACTGAATTCATCCTATCTCCGCCCCGTACCCACATGAAAAAAGAAAACTAAATGCAAAACGAAAAGGTACAAATATACTGAAGTCTTCAATGATTTACTCATAGTAAACTCGTGACTTTGCGGGAACAAAAAAATTCAAAAATTTAAATTATAAGATGCAGAATAGCAATTTAAACTATTATCCTCTTGTGACAAAGTATTTGCAAACTCAACATATATGTATACTTTTTTTAAAAGAAAATTCAAATATATTACACTGCCCCAGGGATGGAGCCATGGGGTCCCAAACAC